TAGGCTGCTGTGGAGCTGGATTTTTAATTTAATGAGCAAACGGCCACGTCTTCTTTTAGTGTAGAGAGCTCAGATCCTTTTAGTTGGTTGCTAGTTTTTCTCAGTTACTGTTACTTATCTTTGTTGCACCCTGAGGAGGTGACCATTCTTCTATAATTATCCTTTTTTGTAAATAAAATCACTCTTTTGTTAAAACCTTGAAAGTTGTGACTGTTTGAGAGGTGGGTGAAATGGGTCCACTTTCATGTTGTGATCTAGCCACCCATGTACGAGTCATAATAACACCTCTGACTCGTGCTCTCACCCTCTTACAGTATCACTTTATATCAAGAGTAAAAAAAGCTTTTCCTTTATTTGTTCATTTATCAAATACACCCACCAGGCATAACATCATGACCACTGACAGGTAAAGTGAATAACAGTTATTACCTCTTCAGCAGGTGAACATTTTGTCCTCTAAGTTCAAGAGTTTGAAGCAGGAAAATTAGAGAGTGTAAGGATTTGATTGAGTTTAACAAGGGCCAAACTGTGATGGCTTGATAACTGGGTCAGAACATCTCCAAAACTGCAGCTCTTGTAGCATGTTCCCAGTCAATATCTATTAAAAGTGGTCCAAGAAAAGTGGTGGGCGGCTCATGGACAGTGAAGCCAAGTCTGGCCCAACGGACAAGATACTAGAGTTCTCCACACATGTATAAAACTCCTATCTAATGAGCAAATGTTTCCTGGACTGGAAAACTGAATAAATGAACTAGCACCAAGTCAAAACTCTTGCTGAATGGCTGCAAATTCATGGTCATGCTCATTTGTAGGTTTGTGTTTCAGAGACGATCAAAATGCAGATCTAAATAACCCAACTAGACAACCCTCTTTAGAAAATGAAGCTTTTAAAAGAAGAAAACAAAAGAGTTTTGACTGAACTGAGGAATAATGCTGTCTGTATCTGAAAAGCCTTGACAGAAAAAGACTTCTTTCAAACTTTGGGGGTTATTAGTCTCATTAAATCAGACGTGAAGAGAGTCTAAAAGTGAAACATTTCAAATAAACACACAGCGTCAGGTTGTCTTTTATATTTACCTCTGATTCACTCTGTCTGACTAAAGAGGGCATGTCAGCAGTGTCAGTGAGTGCATTTTCATAGGTTACAATCTGCTGCAAGGTCAGAAAATTAAGCTATTAAGTGGCCCCTTGAAATAATTAGACCATGAGAATGATAAACAATTTCACTATCGCTTTAATGTTATTAGCAGTTGAATGTGAGTTCTGATAGAAAATTAAAGAGGAATTTTTCACTCAAAATTGCCTGTTTTCATTTGTGATTTGGACTGGCCCGAGGCCTCGCTACAAACAAGCAGCTGCTGGAGGAGAGTAGGTGAGTTGTGTTTAGTCTCTTTGCTAAAGAGATTAGGCAAAGCTAAAAAGATGTTTGGTGGCTGGGACCCTATATGTACTGTTGATGAAGTTAGATGCTGTTCTGAGAGTTAATTGGCTATAGAGTGGCATTTTGGTTAAGGTTTGTTTATGGCTCCTCAGATCGCTGTGTATTGCTATTATGCAGCCGTCACCAAAGTTGGTTTAACAAGAGAAGCAGTTGGCAACATTCATCTCTCGAGGGGGTGTTTAACTCAGTGTTAATGTGTGTTTGACCCTAAATTAATTTTACGCCAGAATATCACTTTAAATATTGGGCCCATAAGTGGACATTTATTTACATGTGCAACCAGGAAACATGCAAAATATGACCAAAAATAATTATTGATTATTAACATAAGAAACTGAGGAAAAACTTAACTCAGAACAGCCTAAGTCCTTGTGTCTGCTGTATTGAGAATTTTTATGTAAAAAATTTTGTGACATAAGAGAAAAATGGTATGAATGAGTCTACTCCGTCACACTGAGTTACAATAGAAATTAGTGTTACAGCCTTGATTTTCTTGTGACTTGACTTGGACTCAGATTTGAGCATGAACTTTTTCAGACTCAGAAGACAAGAGGGAGAGTTTGTTTATTAAGAAAGACCCATTGGAAACAAAAAACAGCTGAGCCAGTGAAAGCTGAAACACTGACACAAGATCTGGACGAATTTAGACGCAACATGAGTCTGGTTCTGCTCAAGGTCTCTGCCTGTTGAAAGTTAGTCTTTCTTTGCCACGGTAACTAGTTGAATGCTACAAAATGTTCCTCTCATGAAGGGCTAAAATCGAATAAGAGAGGGTCTTATCAGATAAGACTCAATCTTATCTTGATGTTGGGTCTCTGTGAAAAAAAAAAAAGCATACAGTCCAGACCTCAAGTAGAGTTTGGCAGAATTGACAGGACTTCAATAATGCAAAATTTGAAAAGTCCACGCTTGCGGAGATATTCTTCAGCAGAGATGAAGTCCAGTTTCTAAGGGTAACTGAGAGACCGAGAGAGACTCCAAAATCAAAAATCAAAGTTTAACTCAAAATATGGAGGGATGTTTTAACATTGTCTTAAAAACAATTTTGAGGACACATCAGAAATACAGTTTGAGCTGAACCAGAATTGAACTTTGTAATAGATGGAAAACACAATAATTATGCTCTTCCTAAAATTGCGTTTGTGTGTTTGTGTGTAAGAGTACATCAGCAGCCCTCTGAATGCTGCTACTGCTGGTACCTTCATAATAAGGCCAATGCTTTCTAGAATTTTTATTACTGCTCCCAAATAGAAAACTTCAATTTTTAGTTTTTATATTCCACTAACTCTAGTTCCAGTGACAAGGTAATATCCGCTGTGAGCCTACTTGTAAATAATGACCATTTAGTAATTTTCTGCAACTTTTCAGGTCATGGTTGCAAAGCTGAGTGTCAACAATACAACCTGTGCCCCTCTAACATATGCAACGCACCACTGAAAACAACCTGACCTTATCTAGGAGGACTGCATGTAAAAACCATGACGTTCAAATCCACTGGCTTGGCTTTTCTGGCAGCCAAGTTTGTTTAATATCCATGTGAGTCAGGGCTGGAGCACAGCAGGTAACTTCCCCCAGCTGTGACTGAGGGCAAGATGATGATGCAAGTCATGTACATGGAGGTTTACGGCTTTGTTCTACTTTTCTGCCTGCCACAGTAATTCCCCAATGCTGAATCTGTTACTTGAAGACATCTCAAAGCATGCTGTGGTGATCAGAGATGGGATTTATGGCTCTTTGTGGGGAGCCAGATCTTGATGTGCCGAACATTTCAAAGATGTGTTCAAAAAACTGGCTCATTGTTGTACTTATTTATTCATTAGAAGTCAACTGGTAACTTTTTTAATAACAGAAACAAATCAGAATAATTTAGACTTACACGCCCCACCAATATATACCCTATGGGTGGGAATTATTCTGAAGTATTGATTAAAATTTCATTTGGATTGTGCTTTTATTGTAAACATGTCACACAGTGGCGCCATATCTCCATACTTTGAAACTGAGATTTTGAAATGTTCCTTCACCTGAAAACATTTGTGGCACAATAAAAACTACACAGGCTACAGATAACGTCCATGCAGTAAAATTTTGCACACAAGAACATTTTAACAATAAAGAAAAAAAAAATTAATAATAGATAGTACAAATATAAATGTGTAAATATGTTTATAGAAAAACATAAAACTAGAATGAAAATTGTGATATGATAAAAATGTGAATTCCAAATTGTACAACCCTACCTGGTGTTTGGGGCACACAGGTGACGTGAAGACAGCGTCGGCAATTTGCATATAAGAACGGCTCATAAATGAACAGCTCGCCACTGTAAACCGGATCTCATAGTTCACTTAAGATTTTTAATGCACCAAAATTGGTTTTACTTCTCATCATTAACAGGGCCCAGACTCTTTTTATTTAAAAAAAAAATCATCTAAGGAATTTCATATGGGAAATATGGTGATTTTGTGTTTTTTTACCATTAAAAATAACAGTGACGTGGTACACAATAACAGATTTTTTATTCATTATTTTTTTTAATAACTAGGGCCGAAGTTGTTTAAGAGGTATGAGTCAAAAAAAGTACAAATTGTTCTATGAACACTTTTCTGCTTGTCCATTTTGGGGACAAAGTAGACTGAATGGAGCTTAAAATTAACAGGAACCAAGGGTTAAAAGAACCATTCAGTGTTGGGATGTATATCTCCATCACTGACGCTGATTCAATACGCATCTCAATGTAATGCCACCAGTACAATACACTATGAGCTATCCAGTGTTTGTTTTTATTCCCCTTGTTTGTATTTCAGTCATAATTTTAGTGTATTTTAGCTGTATGTATTCATATGGTCATGTCCTGTGTCCATGTGAAATCTTCTTTCTGTTTCCTGTCTAGTTTTTGCCTTGGTGTGTTAAATCTCTGCTCTCCTGTCTTTGTGTGTTTTTCCTCCTCTGTGAGTGTGTGCCCTCTCCTGATCAGTTTCGCCTGCGTCTTGTTTTTCCCACTTGTTTGATTTCCTAATAAGTATTCAGGACCTAATTCATTAAAGGATTTCATGTGTAAAATTGAGCATATTGATATCACTGCAAACAAATGAGCAAGTTGATCTACAAACTGCATGTTCTGGGGATTTAATCATACAAAAATTGCAGGTTCACATGCATTGTATATTTGTTATTCTTGATGAATATGCAATATGGGGCGTTTCTACCTTTGTGTGCAAATTACCATGAGTCAAAATTGCAAATAAGTTGATTGAGCATACGCTTTTTGACTTACAGAGCCTGAAAGTAATTTTGATGATTGCCTCTGTGTCAGGAAATAATACCTTTGGAAAGCAGGTGCTAATCCAGGTGCCCAGCGAGGTGCAGAGATGACTGCAGCAATTGTTGCAAGGAGGAAACACAGGCACAATAAGAGAAGGCATGGAGAATATTGGTTCGGGTATTATTTAAACACATTAATTGAACACAAATTTATTTAAACCTATTTCAAGACAAACAAAGCTGAACAATCATGAGCTCAAGACAATTTAAAATTGACTTTTCTGTCTTTCTATCACCTGTTTTTTCAGCCATTATATTTTGAACTGAGATTTTCCTCTCCTGCAGGTTGCAAGTCTTCCCCCGTTGTGCTCTCTTGCTTCAGCCTTCCCCTCTACTGCTCGAATTGAGAAAATTCACCATCCGGTCTTTGATTCCTCTTGCCGGAGCATTTTTGATAGCCTGTGTGTCCTGCATGAGCACCAGTGCCACAGAGGACACAGCTCACCTCCTGTGTAATGAATGACAGTCCATTTTCAAGAGCTGCAGACATTTTTACCCATTCCTGCTACAACTCATTATCAATGTCCTCATTAGCTTGGCGCTCTGGAGGCACAGCAGGGATACTTGCAGATATGGGCTGGTTTGAGGACAGGATGGTGATGGCTGGACATCTGAAAAAAGATTCTCCACATCCTCCTCTTACAAAAAAGGTACAAAACTTTATTTTTAAACACAAAATTAAATATAAAAATGTGAGTGATTAAAATTTGACTGTCCTGTTTTACACCTACCTTGTCTTGCACTTTGCTCAAGGGCATCATACTCTGGTATTCTCATTACCTGCTCGTCACAGAAATGAGCTGCACCTGTTACTCAGCCGTGGTCTGAGGCAACTCTTCCCTCAGTCCCACTTGTTTTAATGGGCTGACATTTACTCACAGTGTGATTCTTCTGTTGATATTTAGATTTCTTTGCCCTTGCTAATAACATGTTTATCTGTCTCTTTATGCACAACAAAGGAGAGCTGGAGAGACCGAATGAAGAAAGGGACATGTGACACTCCTGCTTCTGCAGCTCTCAGTCATCTTTAACAGCTGTATGTATCTGCACACTGCACACACTGTACTTATTCTGATAAAAAACATAAAGTTATTCTGCATGTTTCTTAAAATAGATAAATGAATACAGCTGCAAATGAATAGAAGCAGCTGTCCGATCATTCTGTGTTTCACATTAGTGATGGGCACGGCAGTTCTTTTAGATGTACTGAATCATTAGAATCAGTTCACTAAAAGGATTAATTTAAAAGACTTCTTCACCAAATCACCTAATCATTCAGGGCTTGGTGGGAGGAGCCTGTGACTCCGACCTCCTGAACTGATACACAGCTGAACGTTTCAGGATTCAGTTTAATTCATGGCTTCTGGGACTGGGAGACAAGAGTGTTTGGCTGTGTTGCTTTGGCAAACAGGTTTGTAAAAATGAACTTGTTTATAAGTCATGGTGTTTTAAGTGTACTGTTCTATCGTATGCTATTCATCAGGTCTGCTCAGTAAGTTGGGCTCTGAGTGATTCGTTCACTGAGTGTTACGAAGAATTCACACTGAACAAGCATCGATCCCTTGCAAACCACTACAATGATAGGATGCTGCGGGTTCTATGCACTACTTGTTACATGCTGTGTCCTATTGTATACAAGGTGTTGTGTTGGCAATTTAGCAGTGAAAAAATAGGTAGTTTTGACAGACAAAAATGATACCAGAGAGTGTAGTTCAATGCGTGATTCGTTCACCAAGTGATTCAGGCATCGGTGCATGCAGTCCCTCGTTTGCCGGCTGCTCACCTGGCAATGCTGTTTCTCACTTCAGCTGAGAAACAGTCTTGCTGTGAACCGATTCGGTTCAGTACGTCCACTTAAAAGATTCGGTTACTTTGAACGAATCATCCGTGAACGACACAACACTATTTCACAAAAAACTATATGGATCATTTTTAAAGCAAAATGCTTAAATATTCTTATGTGATATATGAATAAACATCGCATTTTAATTTTTTTCTTTTATTGCAAACATTTAACAAGACATGCAAAGGAGTGAAGTGTAATATGAATAATAATAGAAACAAGAAATAAGAAATGAAAAAAAACACCAATGAAGACAATAAAAAGAGACAAAAACAAATAAAAAACAACAACAACAACAACAAAAAGATAATGATTCATCAGCAAAATAGGCAAATAGAGCAAAAACACAATTGAGAGTATCAGTCACAACTGTTTAAAATGTATGGTAGGGAATATTGTCGCTTGATTGTGTGGATAAGTACAATGTATGTGGTTTCAGGGCAAAATGTTATGTAAAATAAAAATAATAATAATAAAGAAAAACTGATAAGCAATTGAACACGAAAGAAAATAGGATAAATTATTATTATTATTATTATTATTATTATTACGTTAATGCTTTTGAGACTTGTGAGGTTGGGGGGCAGAGCTCACAGGCATTAAGTGTAAAACTCTGAGAAGAAGAGGGGTCCAACAAACCTCACATTTCAAACCTAATGCTCATCAGTTGTAAATGCTAAATAAAAACTTTACTGATCCCAATAAAAACTGTTTATAAATTCATACAATATAATCTATTTAATAAGACAGAGCTGAATGTTCTACATAAGAATATTAAAAAGGAGAAATAACAGATAATGCAAAGGAAATAACTCTCATTTTTCAAATGATATCATTTAGGTGGTAAATCAAAAGGAATGATCGTCATTTGTCAGAGGTGATTTTAAAAGATTTATGCTCAGTTTTTCGTTATCATTTTTCATCATCAGCTCATCACACATCTACTACTTAGAAACCAAATGTCATTTCTGCCTGTTATCAGGGTTTTCCTTTTAATAATGAAACTCTAATGATGTGATGTTTTAGTCGACCTTTAGTGCTTTGCAGCATCTAATCAGTGAGTAATATCTGACACAGAGGTGTGTCTGTCAGAGAAAAGACTTCTATGAAGATTGCACTCATGATCTTAGTTATTGTTACTCCACATTTCCTCAGTTGGACTCTTCTTGGATTTTTTCTAAATGAGCATTCTAATGAGACTTTTATAAATCTTATTTTTTTGTCAGCAATCTAGTCGTAGACCGCGTCCACATCAGAGCTGGTTCTCTCAAATGAACCCTGGTTCTCAATCCTGTTTGTTTCTGAGAGATGTAAAACTTCATATAAACTCTGGTGCAGATCAAACATGCACACTTTGATCTGCTTAAAAAGAGGATTTGGTTAGTTTTCAAGTGGACTCTACTGAGGTTTGTTTGAAGTAGTAAAATAGAGCACACTATCTTTTAAACAAGGACGTGGCATCAGTGCCTAGTTTAGTGTGTAACCAGACAAATGTGCAGTGAGTCTTTATGATAGTTTCAATACTAACTATAATACTAACTAATACTTTCAGAAAGCCAACAAGCACAACCTGTGCACAGAACGTGACCTTTCCCTGAACACCTGTAAGACCAGAGAAATAGCAGTTGACATCAGGAGGAGTGATCACTGGCACCACCATCCCCTGATTATCAGTAGATCTGAAGAGTGCTGAGCACAAAATATCACAAAAGACTCCACCATATTATGTGTATATAGAATGAACATGTAGTTACAGTAAGACTGGTTTGTGCTCAAGTCCTCTTTTTTTCTGTGCAGCTCATTTTTAGTTATTAGGAGGTTCGTGTTTTCTATGATTGACACTTGATACAGCCTATGGGTGTACAAAGATTGCGTAGCTCAGCCGGGGGATACGCTGTTTGAACCGAGCGTAATCACAGCGACTTTTGGCGACTTTCCGCCGAACGCATACAATGCTATTGCGCAATGTTGGTTTCAGGAAGTGGAGAAAAAAATGGGGAAATACCGAGAGCTTTTTGGCTTCAAATCCGTATACTGGCAGTAGGCTGAACCAAGTTGTCCATAGTATAAACAGCCTATGGACTCCATCCATCCCTCACACGTCATGTTCACTTTCCTCCAGTCTGGGAGAAAATACAGATCAGATCATTTGAACAGCACACAAGACACTGTTCCACTGAAAATAAGGCCTTGCGTGTACCAAACATGACTTGTTGACTCCAACAGATTTATATAATCTGCCGACATCCGATGGTCAGGTCACCAGACCTGACAGTTTTCACCACTTGGCTGTGATCTCATTTGACTTTTCACTGAAATAAACATGCAATTCACAGAAGGACAGCAGAGCACAGAGGTTGTACTGTCTGAAAGAAAAGAAATTACACTGCATTCCAAATAGTTAACATCAAAAGCCCACTCCAAGGCAGCGAAGCACTGTTAATGAGTATGAAGAGAAAGACAAAGAAACAGGTCGCTGGCTTACAACCAATTTCTATTGACAGATTCTGTATGATGATGTAAAATTTGTTTGCAGGGGTATGGATGGTTCAGCATCACTTTGATCTTCATTTACAGAACATCAGCAGTTTATTTGTTTTTAACCAATCATGTTTAAAGGGATATTCTCCCGTAAATTTAATTAAGGGTCAAACACACCGCAACGCAGAGTTAGAAGTAATAATCACTATATTAATAATTTTGCACTACAGACGAGGTGGTTCTTCTGCGTTAGCGTCTCGGTCTGGTTGCATTTCCATGAAGAAATGATCATAAATGTTCTTCCTTGAGCTGCGTCACCCTGCAGCAGTCCGTAATGGACTGGCCCGAGGTCTCGCTATGAACAAGCGGCTGCTAGAAGAGGGTTGGTGAGTATACGGAAATAACAGTCCATATTAAGAGCAAATCCACAAATCATTGACATCCCAGATCCCAATAACAGTGACCTGACGCTTAAATTTATCCCTGCTAAGATGGTTCAGCGTGCAACTACAGCTAACAACTTGTTTTTGATGATAATTGTAAATCACGTTTCAAATTTCCTCCTAAGTTTACCTCATTGCTTTTTTTCTGGATGCAGGTAGATGGTTTTACATAGCTGTGCATCTTCCTTGCTGTATTTTTCTACTGATTTTCTGGCCTCTTGTTATATTCTAGTTGTCTTTTGAGCAGGGCAATGGAGAGAATTAGCTATAGGGTGTCTCAAAGTGGGTCCACCCAAACTTTGCAGAAGTAGCATCAACAAATCACTGCTAACAAAATTCAGTGTATCTCATTAATTTTGAAGTGCTGCAGATTATTGTTGTCAAGAGGCTTTGAGCACTTATCTCTGACACACACTATGTGTATGAGCACCTAGCATTTTGTGCAAAGGGAGTGGGCTGAATAGTTAGCTCTCTTACTTGTGGTGTTTTGACAGTTGGTGGTGTTTCTAAAGTAGCTGACCAAGTGGTTGAATCTACCCTCATTTAATTCTAAACAAACCTGTGGATTTTTGAGAGTTTGGATGACAGTGTTATTTGCTATACCATCCAATTCAGATGCTCATGTTGATTCTTAGTGTTCCAGTACTGCTGCATTGACAGCACTAGGAGAAGATAAAGAGACTCAGACATATTTATTGATCTATATTCTGTTTTCATATTTATGTTTGTTTTTTTTATATATAAGGCCTGGATAATTCATCACATTTTAGCAGGAGCTGGTTGGCCCACATGCCATCTTGTTAAATCTATAGAGCCTGATCTACTAACATCCCAAATAAGGGGTGCAAAGTTGCGTGTGCAAACTAAAAAATTTCACGTGCTATAAGTGGGCGTGTTGCAGGTGATCCACTATTATTGTGTGCACAATTGATAACAGGCGCTAAAATGGTGCAGAGTGCCATCTTTTAATAAAGATATTGCAATCAGTTTCCGGGTTTGATAAATCACATTGGGGTTGCTAAATGATTTTATTTGCATCTGCTCCTCCCACTATTTCGCACGTTCTAATGATCTACGTACACTCTGCATATTCATGAAGGCAAACACGCTTAATTGATTGCCTGTTTTGCTCATTTGATAGACGCAATCCTTGGTGCACCCGCTTAGTAGATCAGTAGATCAAGTTTTCACGAGTTTTTGCACACGCAAACCTTTAGTAGATCATGCCCATAATTCATAACTTCTTTTATATTCATTTTACAACTCAGACTGCTGTAATTAATACCTTTTAAAATCCTAACCCCTATTATAAACCTCTTTGTTTATAAATGCCTAAGTCCCACTGATTTTTTACTTAAATAAAAATCAGGCATTTACCATCATTAACTTTGGCATTTCTTGTACATACCTTTGTTGATTGATAAAGTTGCTGAACATGTCCTTATTCACCATTCATTGATTAGTAGAATTGAGTTATATAAATCCATTATATGACAGGCTTCTGCTTGTTACGCTTTAGTCCAGTTTAGAGTCCCAAAAACTTGGCATGTAACTTCTCTTAGCACACAACCTCTTCAAGCACAGTCATGTTACTCTGGACCATTCACATAAAGTTACACAGGCTGAATGGTGGTAGAACTCCTGCTGTTGCCCTGGTGGTAAGGTGGTAACAGGTGCAGGTCATTTTGACTTGACAGTTTTAGTTTGTGACAGTGGTGCTGCCTGTATACATGATAAACATATTTTCCAAGCACACTGTGTAAAATTATCAGCTGGTACAAGAATATGAAAATGTCCAAAGTGAGAACACAAACACAGCACAATAATCAAGCTTTGCCCTGGGAATCTCAGTATCGATGGGCCTGGTACAGATGGGCTGTGTGGACCTCGATCAAAATAAAATCAGACATGTCATCTCAGTCTTGAAAAAGTGTTTCTATCTTTTCTGTCTTTTATGATTTCTGGGTTACATTGGATGAAAACTGATGGTGAATGCTTTAAAAGAGGTTTTATGTATGAACACTAAAAAGAAAAAAACATGTTTCTGTTAAAAGAGAGAACAGATTTTTAAATACTTTGAATTAAAAGTTGATTCTTTTGTAAACCATTCGAACACATATATATAAATTGCTTGTGGTGTCAGCGTCGGTTCTCATTTAACTCAAATACAACTTCAGTCATAAACATATCTAGTAGTGATTCTCAAACAAGGTGCACCCCAAGGGTATATATTAGATCCTCTTCTCTCCATCCTCTTGGGCAGGTCTTTCATCATAAAAGTGTTTTTTTTTTCCTGTTTACAGTAGACACTGACCGCTTCAGTGCCACCCTTCTAGTCTGCAATATTCCACTTCTTGATAACCCCGTTATCTTAGCTGTGCCCTGCAATAACACAACCATCAAAAAACCTGAATCTACTCTGCAGCCTCTCTGCCCCCGACATATACTGATGCAGACATTTGTATTTTTATCAAATTCGAAAGTTAAGGTAAAAAAAGAGCAGGGCTGATTTGCATTGAAAGAAGTGGTATGAAATTCTTGAGTTTCAGGGGATCTTTATTTAATTACAACCACATTCCTCCAGTTCAATTTAAGATAGCTCTGGGAAAAGATATTCTATTTCACAACACCAGACTCAATGCAAAATTTGAAGGACCCTTAATCTAAGAGTTATGCAGATTTTTCAGTACCCCCCTTCTCTGAATAGATACAATGGCAGGATTTCGGAAACAGCTTTAACTCAAAGTCTAATCAGTGGCAGAGGCCAGAGCTGCTCATGTACGGCCCAGCAGTGGCCTTGACTGTGGCCTTGGTTATCACTCAGCCTCAGCATTTGCAAACAATCTGCTGCTCTTTCTGTTGCTGTACGTAGGCAGACATTGACAATGTGCGTCACGTCTATCTGCTTGTCAGGTAGGAATCAAACAACACAGATCAGCGGAGCCATGTTACACAACAGTCAGTCTTTAACCTGCAAGCTAACAATCATGTCTGTTTGGGATCTTATTTCAGGTCCAAACTTTGCAGTGAAACTCCTCTTCTGACAGTGGTGATGCTTTTAGGTTGTTAATGCATTTTCATGTCCCTGTGTGTATGGGCTGGATAGGTAGCACAGGGCAACAAAGTGTAGAATAAAATCTCTTCTGCTCCAGAGACCAACACCAGTCTCAGGAATCTTTAGATCATTAATTCTTTGTGTTCGTTCCAGGCTGAAATTCGCTCACCTTCTTCCCTCACATTTTCGTCTCTGGTGAAAGGGATCCTGAGACCAAGGCTACCAGAGATTTTTGGCAGCATGTGAATAGAACAGACCTGACTCTGACAAAGGCTTTCTTTGATTAGTTTTGCTTTGACGAAAGCTGCCTGTGAGATGTTCGCTTCAACCAACAAGTTTGATCTGCAGATGCTGCTGCGAGTGCTGTATCAAACATTACCAAAGATTTTTATCTTGCGATTTCAAAATTCCTGTGAGGAACTTTCTCTTTGTGTTGATTGGTTTGTGTTGTTATGATTGTGAGTATTTTTGTGTGTATATGTGTGTGTGTGTGTATGTGAATTATTTCAAAAGTGCTGGTATTGGTTGTGCTTGTGTGTATGCGTTTTTCTTTTCTCTTTCTCTCACCTTGAATAGATGCACCAAAATCTTGTTCGCCAATTGGATGATCGGTTTCCTACTTGGCAGGTGATAGACTGGGTACAAAGGGTTTTCCCCATAACAGCTGAGAGATGGCATCAACGCCACAGAACAGAGACCCCATCTCCCTCCTCTCTCAACTGGCCATTTGCTCTTTTATTATCAGCGTTTCTTAGATTTTAGCGTTAGTGTCATGATATGTCTGTTCCCTTGGTTTTGGTGATTTGAGTGTTTCTGTGCCCTATTGTTCCTGTTCCCCTGTAGTCCTGTCTTGTGAGTTTTCAGTTTGTGTCTGAGCCTGTTTCCCTCATGTTCTCTGTGTTCTATTCTCTATCAGTCGTCAGTGTTTCCTGTTTTATTTTGTATTAGCTTCTTTCCTGTGTTTCTAGTCTTGTTTTGCTTCCTCAGTTTTCCCTCCTCTGTATTTGTCTTCACCTGTGTCTCAGTGTCTCACCTGCCTCTCGTTGCTCGTTTCCCTGTGTGTATATATAGTCCTTGTCTTCCCTGTTTCTTTGTTGGTTCATTGTGTGGTATGTTGCGGGTCTACATGTCTGTATGTCAATGCCTCTGTGTGTCTCCTCGTGATTTTTTGTTCCTTGGATTTGGCTCCTTGTGTTTTGACTTTGGGATTTCTTTTGGTTGGACTATTTTGAAACTGAGTTTTTGTTGCTTCTTATTTAGTTCTTTTTTGAATAAATCATTTCTGGTTCTGCACATGGGTCCTTCCCCTATTTGTTTCACCCTGAAGTGTGACGACTAGATTTGTGTTGAATTTGTGTCGGGTGAATTGCCAGTTTATTCAGGATTGTTTTGTTAGTTAGAGAGGCAAGCCATTTCATTTTGGTTTCTTTGAGTTTGTAGGTCAGTTGCTCTACATCTCAGTTAGAATTGATTGTTATTTTTAGGCGTTGATTCACCCTGAAGTTAATTTAAACCAATTCTTTCATTGTTGGTAATAATTATAATTTTACAAATTAATATAATTGTGAGTTATTGTAGTGTTCTGACCACCCCTACATGGGGCGTAACAGTGTTCACCTCTACTAAATGAAGTGGTGCCTCTTAGTAGCATGTTGGTCACGCCCATGTTTTTTGGCATTGCATGGAAATAGTTCAGTGCTTTGATAAAGTATCTAAAGGAGACTAGTACTGCTTCAAAAAAACAGTTCACACCCTGCATCCATAATAATAATAATCATAATCATAATATTAATGGTTTCTAATTAATGCATCACATCTAGAGCAGCATTTGTGTTTTAAACATCCATAAGTTTAGCTAGTTTGATGTATGAAAGCTCCAACTGAGGTTATAAGAATATTTATGAGGATCAATCATGAGGAAATAAAGGAGGCAAAACGAAGTTTTTTTGAAAAGTAATTATCTGGTTTTATGGACTTGCAGGATTTTTTTTAAAATGTTTAAGTGAAACCCCAAAATCCTTACATTCATTTGAGAAAGAGATAGAAAAATATGAAAGCTTTGTAGGCCAGTAGAAATCAAGCGTTATACTGAATAATCGTTTGTGTTTTTATGTCAAATCCTAATCTTAAAATAGGTACTTACATTTCTCCCTCAGTATTTATGAAACAGTTAAAGTGATTTATTGTTACAGTTCCACATAGTTACTGCATTTATGATCATAAGATGTTTTCAAGGCCTCCGAGACTCATATAAACAACTCCCACACACAAGTCAGCGGCTGTCACTTTAGCTTCAGCGAGGCGCCGTATGGCTGAGGCAACCACATGAAATTAAAGAGACAGAATGTCCAAACTGTTTTTTTAGCTGCTGCCTAACCAGTATGGGACTCTGTGAGCATAAAATGACATTAATTGGAAATGCATTCAGGGTACCACAATTTTTCAGTCTAAATGTGGTGTTTAAATGGCATATGCGAGGAATAAATCATACTGTAAATACTGAGGAATTATTGGAACAAAGTAGAAATTCATGGCCAGGTTAAGGGATGAGAATTTTTAAGATGCCATCTTCAAATCTGCTTATTGATCCAGTTGCATATTGATTCTTTTATACTTCCTGTAGATTTTCTGTGGGGAAAAAAAAGATCAATATAAGCTCTGTGTGCAAATAACACTCATCTAATTATGAGTTGTGTTACCTTTTTTGCTTTTCTGAGATGGAAAAGTCCAACTTTGAATACAGATGCACCTTCTGGTTGGATGAAAGACCAAGGCGAAGATGGCAGCCTCTTTCTAGCAAAGTCTGCAAGCAACAGAACACTATATTCCTCAAATTTATACATAAATCCTCATGGATTACCTGTGATAATTTAGGTCTCTTCTATTTTGTGGAGACTGGATACAGACAATCTTGAACATACTGAACTTCTCCATGTACTGGAAAGTTCCTGAAAGTCCTGAAAGTTATTCTTAAAGATTTTACAGTAAGTCAGTGAGTTGCATATTCCTGATTTTAAACTTGATATTGTAAACACTACTGTGTAATGTATTCTGAGACAAACAAGGCAAATGTGAGCTTAAGTTCACATGTGTATTTTGTGCTACAAACATCAGTATTTGACGGTTAGAGGCCAAACAAATTAAGACAACACTTAAAACATAATAATCCAGTCATGTCTCAATTAGCCACTCAAGATTTTTCTTGATGAATACCACATTGTTTTGCGAAAAGCTGCAGCATTGAAGGACAGAGCACTCGATGCTTCATCGAAAGTTGCAAACAGATTGCAGCATAAAACCACACACTCCATCTGACAAAGTGATGGCAAATTAATTTTAGATTTTAAATAGAGAATAGAAAAGATGCAGAGATCGATGTGTCTTTGACAACATGACAAAAAAAACATTCGATCCACTTTAAGATGATCCTTCTAACAACAAGATCTCAAGTGCTATTTGGATTTTCTTTGATTGTGAAACTGCACATTGACTCTTAAAGGATAAGCACCACAAGAAGTGGTTTGAGAAAGTTGAAACAGAGGTTACTTTTTCTTCTGACATTACAAAATTAAAAAATAACAGTGCTGTTAGGGACTGGGGTAAAATTAATAATAATAATATTAAAATTTCTTTTTTATCAAGTTTCTTTAGAGCAAAGTGATCATGCAGCAAGTTTTTTCTGCTTTAAAAAAAAAAAACGTTTTGACAAATCAATTGTTTTTATCCGGGTTTTTTTCTCAATGTCACAAAGTAGTTTAATAGATGGAGTCATTCTGCGTTGTCACTGTTATTTCATAATGATGCATCATTTCTCATGGAAAGCAGCCTCTCCTAGGACAGCAATACTCTTGTTTAGCACAAGGCCTCACAGTATGGTCAGATGAAAAAGAAAATTCTGTGAAGACACCGTGACATTTATAAGCCGCATTTCCACTGAATCCAGTTTGATTCTACGTCACACGGGTGTCAATGTTGATCTTAAAAGGAAATCATCTCAATACAGGAGCTTATTTATACACAGACACCAGCTGAGCAGTGAGAGGGACACAGAGATGGATGCAAAGATAGAGGGAGATGGTACAAGAAGAAAGATTTCCTGTGATGAGACCTCATCTTATAATCAACACAATTTACCTGCAGCATTCAGATGTAGATCTATGCAAGCTGCCTCTTTCAAGGTAGGGTAGGCAGGATCTGAGGAAGTGCCAGTTTTTGGGAGAAATCTTGAATGTAAACACTACCACTTCCAACCAGTTTTTTCCCTCAACTCCCTTCTCCCCTCCCTCTCTGCTCCAGCAAGCCCCGCCCACAAACAGATGCTCCTGCTTGCTAATATCGTTTCAATTAAATTCAGATATAATGCAGATAAATACTTCAGATGATTTCAAATGGGGTCCAATTAACGCGAAAGCAAAAAACATTAGTGCTACTGTAGATGCCAACAGACTACCATCAAACACAATGTTTGCAGGACCTCTAAAACTAGGATAAAGTGACATAGTCCAGGACCGAGGTAAACAGTTTAGCAGCGCTACAACAGGCAGCAGGTCCCATTTGACAAGAAACACTTCTGTTACAGACACTTGGCTTATTCTGTTAAAGCGGTTTACCTGTCCAGTAGAAAGGTTACAGAGTCCTTAAGATCCCAAAGCATCCCTCCTTCTTAAGCGCCCGTTATTTCACCAGAGTCTCCGGTATTTACTTTGTTTTCTTGCTCGTGTCAGCAGTCGTGGCCAAATTTCTGAACTTTCTGGTTGGTTTCTACTGTCTGATATTGTAGCACGCTAACTTTGTTTGGGCTCCTGAATGACATGGGGGAGCAGCATCTGCCTCACAACCAATCAGCACGAGGGAGCAGTGTCCGCCTCACAACCATGGCTTTGTTTACAGTCAGAAAGAGCGGAGCGCTCTGAAAATTTAAAACGTTGACAACACAGACATAACAAAACACAGTGATATTGTGATATTCCCAAATGTCATCAATGACTAATAGCTATTGACTGATATTAAAAGCTTTTTTGTATATACACCACAAAAAAAAGATGCTTCTTTAATGGATTCCTGCCTACCCCACCTTTAACTGATCACAAAATAAAATTCAAAATAAAAGCGTTGTGTGCAGAAGAGGGGTATCTGCTTCACAAATGTACAGAGACAAAGCCAGTACATGGCATTCACATGTGTGTTCTGGTATGTGATATTGTGTTGTGACTTTGCGTTTACATTTTCAAGTAATGTGAGTTTTAAACTTGCTGTGACGACCTTTTATGGCTTAACCACTGACTTCTGTAAGCTGTGCTGGAAGCTTCTATAATTTAATTCATAATTTGTCTTTCAATGAGGGCGATGAGAGCTGATGACTTAATTCACCTCTGAGGGTCCCTCTTCTTCCTTAATGAGCCGCTTCTCTACTCACTTGTCATCTTTGCTCCCTATTATGTTGTTGCCGCAGCAATCAACTCCCCTGTGTTATCATTACAGCTCTATCTTATGACCACTTTACTCTCGTTCTTCCTCCATTAACTCTGATTTCTGCCTTTCTTCCTCTCCTCTACCTCCGTGTGAGCTCACTGTCTGAGCAGGTGACGGGGCAGGATGGTGGTCTGCACTTCTTAATGGGACCACCATCCCCATCTGTCCAAACCGGAGCCATTTGAGAGTCCTGGACACCATCTGTTGCCAACACACCCATCATCATCATCATCATCACAGGGACAAGCAGGGTAAAGGGGAGGAGGAAGAGACAAAGAGAGAGAAAGAGAGAGAGAGAGGGAGGAGAAAAAGAACAAAATAGTTTTAGGGAATGACGCAGGGGAAGGTGACTTGGAAAAAAACATTAAACTGACTCATCACTGTTTCCCGTAAATTGGGTACACCAAACTCTCTAGAAGGCAATAACACTCATTTCCATTTTTTTCCATTTCATGTTGGGAGCACGATGTTAGCTGTGACTACACATGTGTGCTTCCAATAAATCGCTGAATAACTTCAGTGTCAGTTTTGCTGCCTAAAACAGTAATCATGTTTTCTCGAGATGTTTTTGGGCAATCGAACAAGGATTCCCAAAAGATAGACAAAACAAAATGATAAATAATGTTCTTAAAAAAATTTGAATACTATGAAAAAGATTATTTTTCCCTGATTTAATACAGAGACATATATTGTTTTTTCCTGATATGTAGAATAAAACATGAAAAAACAAAAATCGGATATCTTAAAAGGTGGGGTAGGCAGGATCTGAGGAAGTGCCAGCTTTTGGGAGAAATCTTGAATGTAAACACGACCC